CCTCCATGTTCCTTGTCGTAACCCCTGTGTCACGAATACGCTTGTCTCTTGAACATAGCATCAAGCTTCCATCTGATTGACACACTCCGACATTTCCTGCCAAACCGCAGGGGTGTGTGGGACAGTTTAGGGCTGCAGACAGAGTGACACAGATTTGGGCTGATTCAATTTGCTTTTGCTCAATTTTGGCTTTCCCTCACCTCAAACTTGCAGCAGGTTATCTTCTTTTTTGTTTGGCTTAACTTATTCACTTAACTGTGAAAGCTGCGACAATATTAAAAATGTATACTATTAAATCTAAATCGATAAATAAATAACACATTAAACATAAATTAAAAACTAAGATATAAGGTTAAATATAAAGTTTTTTTTTTAAATTATTGAAATAATATACAATTGTTAACATAATTGTATCTAAAATATAAAACTATTTATTTACTTATTTTATTAAATACTATAAAATGATTAATGTTTTTAAAGATAGAGCAAAGGTAGCGTAGGTGTAGAAATATATAAAATATATGTAAAATATAACCAGACATGTTCAAAATATTATTAAAACTTGGATAAAAATATACAATTGTTAATAATTGTAATATATTGCTAAAAATTGTTATATATATAAAATAACATTATAATAAAAATATTTTGTTTATTTTTTATTCATTATCTTATTACAGATTATTAAATTATTCGTGTTTTTAAAGATTGAATAAGTGTAAGATGATGGCAAAGGTAATATAGATGTAAAAAGGGGAAATGAGTATGAACAATAATTTTTCTACCAATACTGATAAATTTAAGCATCTCTTATCGGATGGTAACTGTTGTGGTTACTTGTAATATATAACATTAAAATATAAAAGATCGGCACTGATCAGAGACCAAAAGACAAAAACAACAGTAGAGTCAGGCCAAAGGCTGACTTGCAGAGTTGGAATAATAAGACTAAACTACAAATCTTTTTTTGATCTGAGCTACTCGAGAAGTTCATTGGGTGAGGGATGAGATTCAGTAGAGGAATGAATTCCTCCTCCTATTTATTACCCTTTAAAACCCTCTAAATACAAAAACGCATTAAATCAATTATATGTCAAAAGTCAGGGGTGACATGGCATCATGGTGGAGGTAGTTGAAATTCATAATCTTCAACTTTCCTCTGAATTTATCAGCTTAAGTCACAATCATTCTAAAGGGTTAAAAAAAAAAAGATCTGGGCAATTCAATTCTATACCGTTTCTTGTGTCTGAATGTGGTTAGCATATCAGTGACAACATGAGATAATTCTTCATAAGACTTAGTATCAGTGGTTTTCTAAATATAATGTCTTATGGCTTGCAGTAGTTAGGTTATGGTATAGTTCCTTAAAAAGAAGTTGCTTATCTGGCTCTTGCAGTAAGTTAGAAAACTACATTTCCACTCCATAAGTCCATTATATGGTAAAGTGAAAGGAACGAGAGAAGATTGTGCTGATTTTCAACTCCAGATTGCCAGCTACAGCCTAAATAATAGAGACTGTTGAATCCCCCTTCAGCATTTTCTGGAAAAATCCAGGCAAGTCCAGTCAAAAAGCACACACTCTTGCCTACAACCAAAGAGTAATACTAGCAAAGAGGTAGCGTCTTATGCTTTTTCGTATTTGTTAGCTGTTGCTTGTATTAGGCACTTGGCTCAGTATCTCTAAACAAGTAAAGTGAATAGACAAGCACAGCCCAATTTATTCTCAAAGTGATGGTTGGTGTAAAGTTCTCAGAGTATTCTGCACATGGCCTCGGGTTACGTTGTAATGACAGTCATAAGCTTTAGGTGACCGCGCTTGTGGCCCTGTAGACATCTCTGCTTGACCTCTTGGGACCCATGGGAGATAAATAGGCAGTGTGCTTGAAAGACACAATGAGCTAACTTGCCCTTGCTATTTGTATGTGCTTAGCGCAGCAAGGTATGGTATAATAACTTGGCAAAAGCACAGCTCTGGAACCGATGTTGCGAAACTATTAGGCATTCGTTCTTTGACGCATTAAGAAAATAAAGCACAGATGTTTAGTGCGGTTCAACGCTCTCCATGGGTTTTTCAAGAGCCTGCTTCATTTAGCCTGTAAATTAAATAAAGCATAGCATGGCAGCGCACCAAAAACTCACAATATCACTTGAGGACCGCAGCTCTGTCAAAGAGACCATGACACGCACATCTCCTCTGAATATATTTCTTCATCAATGTTCTGACAAGATCGAATTGAGAAATCAAACATAACAAAGAAATCAGTGCCAAAGCAAAGAGCAGCCGGCCATGAGGGGACATCTGTCTTCAAGCATAATCATATTCTATTTGCAGGTGGCCATCTGAATATATAAATATTTTATTATCATGTTGAAACTTTGGCAGAGAAAGTAAATTTTGCTGACATTTATATAGAAGTGTTATACCACCGTGCCACCTATAAATCTCAGTGATATATTTCCCCAGCTCATATGTGAGTCTGCTGCAAATGCCCATGTTGGCAGAAATGAAACTTTAGACCTAAAACAGGCAGGCACTGACTTCTGCATAATGCATCCATATGAGCAGCACGGCAACACGCGGCTGCATATATTTTTCATGCCTAATATCATTCATATAAAAGGCAGACTGATAAATGGGTGCATTAGTAGAGTTGGCCACATAAAATGGGTTTATTCAGTGCCGACAGGAACACAAACTGATGCCCTTAGATGCTCTAACAGGAATAGATGGACATGCTGAAAATTGCTCTACATTGGCTTTGCGCATGTTCCTTGCAAAAATACACCGCTGAGAATTTCTGACCACCTCGACGAGAACTCAACAAAATTAGTTGTGATTCGTATTGTTTTGTATTTCTTGTAATGTTTTATATTTTCTATGGCTGTCTGTCTGTATGTCTTGCCGTACAACCAATTTCCCCCTGGGGGACATAAATAAAGTTGAAGTGAAGTGATACAGGATCACGCACATACGTTTTCGCCTTGCAAACGTAAACAGGATGTTTTTTATTTATTTATTTTTGACAATATTGTGGTTTGGCGATTTCTCCTGACGTGCATCTCCAGGGCAACGTTATCTACAGAAGTTGTCTGATATGGGTGTTGTTGAAATCAAGGAGCTCTAAAATATGAAATGGTGAAAATGGCTGCGAGTTTGAAATTGCTTTTATATACAACAGTACAACAAATGAGAAGTAAATATTGAGAAACTTACACTTTAGACCAAACATTGGCAGCTACGTTGTTGAGTAAGCCACTCCTGAAAGAATCTGAGTATTTATTTAGACAAACCAGTTCAGAATGATTCACATATGAAGATTCACTTGTTGCCACTTACTGGCGTAACAATGTAACCAGCAGAAAGAGTTACTGAAAAAATCTATTAATAAAAACTATTAATACTCAAACACTATATTTTATGTCATTTTATTTTATTTGAAAGGTAATGTTTAATTAAAAATATTAATTCATTCATTCATTCATTCTGGGGACAGAAAAATATATTCACAATTTTGCCTAATTTGAGCTCTAAGTTTGTTTAGTTGATGCTTATAAAATAAAATTTATAACAGTTTTCCATGTACCTTACATTATAGGAAAGATCCGATTGACAGCACATTATTCTAATGCTATCAATGTAATTCATTGTGACAGCGTCCCTTTCAATCTTGTACTAATGTTGCTTTTTATATATAAAGTCATGGCAACCTTAGTCGAGGATTAAAACTTTTCGACCTTCCCCAATTTATCCAATCATACTAAAGTGGAATAAAATATGGGCTTAGCCTTAGAGGAACTGGTTAGTACAGGATTTCTTTTGAAGAAGACATTATTAACTGAGAAGAAAGACATATTAGATATGGAAAGAAAATGTAAAATGGAACAATATCAGTCCTTTTCATTAAGAGCACCCCTGAGAGGAAGAACCAGGTTTGATGCCATAAAAATATGACGTCAAACATGTGTGTACTGAATGTGAAAATATGTCATGATGTGGCACAATCGCAGCAATTTAGAATATACTGAATTTGTATTATACATTTAAGAGGAGCAGGATTTTAGAAATTCAAAAACTTTTAAAAAGATTTATACCATTCAAAAGTTTGAATAGGTCAATAAGGGTCAATAAGATTTTTATGTTTCTGAAAGAAGTCTCTTCTGCTCACCAAGGCTGCATTTATGTGATTTAAAAATACAGTAAATCAGTAATATTGTGAAATATTGGTACAATTAAACATAACTGTTTTTCATTTTAATATATTGTAAAATGTCATTTCATCTATTTAATCATTTTCAGAAATCATGCTGATTTGCTGCTCAAGAAACATTTATTATATTATTGTTATTTATTATACAGTTGTGCTGCTTGATATTTTTATGGAAACTTTTCGGAATTCTTTGATAAATAGAAAGTTCAAAAGAACAGCATTTATTTGAAAAAATAGACATATGCTATAACATTATAAATATCTTTACTGTCACTTTTGATATTTAATATTTCACAATAATAAATGTTTTTACTGTATTTATAAATGCACCCTTGGTAAGCTTTAGAGACATTTAAAACATCTTACCGTCCCCGTATTTTTAAAGTTAGTGTAAATCCACCAGTGTCTAAAAAGAGGTATGCAGGAAAGCTAGCTTCCCATTCTTGGTCTACTCCTTCTTCATCGCATCCGTTGGTTTCAACAGAAACCAACATAATGGCAAAAACAAAATGGCATAATTTTCCAGCCATGGAAGAAAAAACAAAACACCTAATTGACTCAAAAATTAAATATAGGAAAAAGGTAGAGGGTACAAATGCACTGGTTGTTATTATTATTGGGACTGAGACACACATAGGAAGTTCCTGAATGAAAGTACACTGCACACTCACTGGGGAGACAAAGTGACTTTAGAAATACCTAGAAAGCAGTTGCTGTCCAGTTCTGTGCATTGTCCATACATCTTCTTGACGCCATAAGCTAAAGGTTGAAGTGGTCGGTGAGAGGTCTTACCTGAGGGGAAGTGCTCATTGATGGCCCAGTTGTCCACCTGAAGTGTAGCATTGCCCCCATTTCTGGTGAAGCGCACTACATGGTACTTGCCATCATTTACAGCGGTGCTGCTCTCCAGAACAACGATGTCAACCGTTCCAATGTTGAATGTGACTCCAATTTTGCCTTGCTCCTAAAAAGGATGAGCAAAAATCAGTTTTGTCCACCACATTTAATATATTAACAACAAATACATGGAATGAATTTAGGTCAATTGAGTGACTTTTTGACATTGATGTACACCTTTTTCTGTATTTGGCTAAAGATAAACTGTAAAAAATTATCGTTATTCTAAAAATGCTATGGTAAACCTTTTTTATTTGTTAAACGCTGAGTTCCCTAATTAGTGAAATACATAAATGTCATAGATCTGTAATAGATCTAAAGGGATATTTCATGTAATTCATGTAATACAGTTTTTGGAAGTGAAAAAGAAGTGAAGACTTATCATTTACAGTAAAAATCCATAAATTGATATTCCCAGAACAGCTCAGATTTGATGTTTTTTCATTGAAATACCTAGTTTTTTTTTCTACGTTGTTTCTATTTTCAACCAGGTGGTTGTCAGTATATTATAAAGGTAAAGCAACTATATATATATATTTATATATTTATATTTCTAACTATAAATTTAAGTTCAAATGTTGTTACCATATTTTTGTGGCATAGTTCTGACAACCACAGCACGTAATTTTTTTTATAGTAAATTGCTCATATTAGGGTTTTTTTTTTACACCGTACACGCATTGTATTCTGTTTTGACTCATTTTTAATGACAGAGATGCCCTTGGAATCTGTCACCTCTTGCTTTTATTTTATTCTAGCAGGATCCTGAATAATCTATTAGCATTAGTGACCCCTGATAAACTTGTCCGCTTGATGAAAAGTATTCATCAGCCATTAGCACCCCCCGTCTTTGGAGGTGAAGAATCAGGCTCATTGATTTACATAATGCAGTGAAAGTGGACTAAATCAATAGCATTAGCTAAAACAGAGAAAGAGATAAGAATGATTAATGAAACAGGAAGGTGTGCAGTGTTTGCCCTCATGGATCCAAGAGGCTCTGTGCAAATGTAGCTGCAAAGATTCCCACTATAAATTAATTAGCACAGCCTCAATGAGCATCAGTGGGGCAGGAAACATCGAGGAAACGTTTCATCCATCGTCAATGTCATGAATTAACCATGTGTTTAAAAAAAAAAAAAAAAAAAAAAAAAAACACACATCTTAAACTACCCTAAGCTAGTTTTCTGGACTTAGCTGGTCTGGTCTTAACCGGCTACATTTTTTTGCGTTTCTTTCTATTCAACCGTTTCATCCTCGAGAACGCATTCTCTCTAACCCCTCCAGAGCCCTCTGGGTTGCATGGATATATTTTATGGTTATGTTAAACCGAATCTGGTGTTGTTTCTTATCTCTTGCAGCACGGAAAATGACGACAGATGATAAATTGTATCAAGGGAGATGTTTATCACCGCACAGTGCATTTATCACAGCAAGATCTCTGTGAGTGAAATCTGGGCCAGTCTTCTCAAGTTCATTTGGAAGACTTTCCCAAAGACTGGAATGTTATGTTCATCCTACTCTGTTCATGTTTTTAATTGACCCTCATGTTTTGTTGATATTGACTTTACTAATTTTATGTGTGGTGTCCCAGAGATGTACACTATTGGGGTCATAAATATATTCAGTATTTATATTTAAGAAACGAATACTCTTATTCAGCAAGGATGCATTTAATTGATCAAAAGTGATAGATTTTAATTATATATATATATATATATATATACATATATATATATATATATATATATATATATATATGCTGGTCTTGTGAACTTTCTATCCATCAAAGAATCCTAAAAAACTCAGTTTTCACAAAAAAAATATTAAGCATTAAGTAATATTAAATATTAACAAATAAAATGTTTTTTTTTTTTCAACATTGATAATAATAATGATTTCTTAGAATGATTTCTGAAGGATCATGTGACACTGAAGACTCGAGTAAAGAAACTGACAATTCAGCTTTCCATTCCCGGAAAAAAATTACACTAACATCAAATAGAGAACAGCTTTTAAAATTGTAATCATATTTGCAATAGTAATGTGTTTACTGTATTTTTTATTAAAAAAACCTCAGCCTTGTTCAGCATAAGAGACCTCGTTTGAACACTATTGTGATGGTAAAATGTTAATAGCAATTTCAAAATTACCCGCACACATATTATAAAATTATGAGGTACATTTTGAAACTGCTGATAATATGTTTTTACATTTACACTTAATTTAATATTTAACAATAATAATGATTTGTTTTCTTAATATTGGAGGTTAATTTAGAATTAATCAAAATCTTGTAAACAGATATTATTGAAGCTTTTTATTAGAAAAGTGCCTGGTTATCCATTCTTGTAACACTGCTTATGTTTTGGTAGTTTCCATGAAAAACATTTTTTTTTTACAATCATTTCTTATAGGATTAATATAAATATCAACCTGATATTTCAATGAATTTATTGCATGACATGCAGATTCATTGATCAAATTATTCACAAATAATCACATATATTAATATTGCATCTCAGTGTTCAGCGTCTCAAACCATGAGTGGCACATTTAGTTAGACAGTTTGAAAAATGCCTCTCAAGATCAGTAATTTCTGCTCCATTCTGTTGAACTCCACCTTGCTGTTTTTAATCATAACATATTGACATGCTAAATTGAAATTATAATAATTACTATTACATATGAATTTTATTGTTTTTTCATTAGGCTCCACTTCGTGCCATGCCTCCATAACCATAGTAAAATCATACAGCCTGGCTTATGCTATATTGTAATGTTTGTTTATGTATTTAATGGATAGATATTCATAAGCTTGTCAGTGTGTGGTAGCGTTTTAATGAAGTGTTTGTGTTCAATGATACTTCAAGTCCTTTGAGACCATCTTTAGAGGAAGGAGGATAGTATGTTACTGTAATCCTGCCTTTCTTCCTGCATGGAAAGCAACAGAAAACATATCTCTGCACTCTTGTAAAATATTAATGAGACAAAAATGAGTCAAAACACATAAAGGGCAATTTACTAAATCTGTTTCCACAGACTTACACATATATACACACACACACAGTGCAATGAAATGTCTAACCGTACTGCCACTTTTAGTTTGTGAAAGCCTCTTGCTGCTGTATTACTTGTTTGATCACAGAAACACTCTTTTACATTTAGCATCAAAGAGTTTAGAAGCGTCTCTCTCTCACTCTCTTTCTCTACATCCATCTCATCCCCCTTTGCCGTTTCAGTTCCAATACTGCAACACTTTCGTATCCAGGAGGGTAAAAGGACGAATAAACTCTTGGTTTTTGAGCAAGTGATACATGAAAGGAAATAGTCTGTTCAAATAGAGAATAAGCTCTGTGAGATTTATGTATCTATTATGGGTCAAATGACAGATATAATAGATAAACAGGTCCAAGATCGTGAAAAGGAGAAATTTTATATTTGTCTTTAAAAAAGAAAAATATTTAATCACTAAAAATGTAGAGTGGTATTTCCAAGTAATAAACCATTTTCCTCGAATCACTTCATTATTATTACTATTTTTTTAATGTTTCATGTTTACCATTACCATTTTTATTATTATTTGTATTACCAAGTTTTTGGGTTACTCAGTTTCAGCTGAAAAATAAATAAATAACCGACAGCCATGAAATACCTGTTTTATGTTGTTTTTGTCTCGACACAAAATTATTGTGAATTGGTAATGCTAATATTAATATTATTATATACAAATATTTTAAAACAAAACTGCTCCGACGCGTATGTTTAAAATAATATTTCTGTAGTATTTAAAATAATAATTCAATAATTGTAAGAATCCCAAGACTTATTTCTTTAATACAATTCCCAGACATCCTATGCATTTTCAGTTTTATTTATTGATTTATTTCAATCATTTAGAATTTAGAATACATGGCTGAATGTTCCTTAATCATTTTGGATGATGCTTTTAGTACATTATTCAAAGGTTTTATTCAAATACACAACTCTGCTGCAAAAACAGTGTATAATGATTGGCTCATCCAATTATTCATTGTGTATTTGAAGTGGAATAGGACATGGGAAAAAAAACAACAACAAAAAAAAACACTGATTGCCAGAATGAGTTTGAAACAATGGGAAACATAATGATTCAGTAAGCATAAAAGCTAAAATAAAACTGGACAAAAAAATGACATGGAAAGAAAGATCCTTTTGGAAACACTGCAAACAACTGGCTAAAACTAAATCTTTATATTAGAAGTTTGAAAACATACAAGGACCAAATTTTTCCATTAAGCTACTCTTCATTTTAGATGTTGTCTCTAGTCTAGCATATTGGATAATGATCCATTGAAGTCAGGGCATTCTTTAAAAGGCAGCAATCTCTACTGCTGCTAAAAACCCCAATCCACATCTTTCATAATTGAATCCCTCTTTTATTCCACGGGCCACTTTACTTGTTTTGCTGTTAACCTCCATCAAAATATTATAATGTGCCATTCTAATATGCTTTTCAGGAAAACATAAACAAAACATTGCAAGTAATGAATAAACAGCAGTAGGAACAAAGCAAGTGTGGCCTTATTTGTATTCTGCGACACGCTCCTCCGATAGCCAGACAGTTAGAGTCCTGCTCCAGAATGCAAACTCCAATCATTACCGTCATCAATTGTGCTGTTCCTGCTCTCCAATGCTGTGCGAGAAGTAAAAAGGCTTGCCCCACTGTATCACCTGGACAAAATTGATAAGTGGTTAAAAGATGAACCTTCTCCCCCTGTGAGTGCCCGTCTGTGAAGAGCTGATAAGAGGAGATGCTCCTCTATTGGTAGTAAAGAGAAAATGGAAGTGACAATTTTTCATAGCTGATTGTCTCATCAATATAAGAGTCAATAGTTTCAAGTCTGCTGCTAAATAGTGTGGGATCTTTTTCCGGAACAACTTCATTACTTTCAGTTTAATCTGTTTCTTACGGCGTGTCGTTTAGCAAGTGCAAAAAGACTCAAAAACTCTCTAGCTAAGGGATACATTTAATGGAAAATTAGCCGGTTGCAGTAAACAGAATGGACACGGATTTGCAACACTACATAT